GGAGAGAATAGAACGTCGCAAGAAAAGACTGTGGTGTTTATATGATGGTGTTCCGCTTGAAGAAGATAGTGATTGTTCCGTAATGGAAAGTGTTTACGAAGATCAAGACACAGATGATGACTCAGATAGTGAAGATGAAGATCGTAACGAGGATGAACAAACCAGTGATCACATTGTTAAAAAGAAACGGCATCGTGTGTCTCGCGTTATTACAGAATATGAAGATGAAGAAATGCTAAAAGATAAGATAATTAAAGATTATGTAAGGGTCTCACAATTACAGGATGAAAAGATCGAAATTGCTGATAAAGCTCTGGCACTAGTAAGTGTGATTTAAACCATCTGCCATAATTATTATGTTGTAATATCGCATTGTACATGTAAATGGTATATTTCGTTGTTTATATAGGTCGAAAGGCATATAAAACGCCTTGATGAAGATTTCGATAGCCTATTTCCTCAGCATAATCTTCGCGAAAATCTTCAGGAATCTTCTACTGAAACTTCAGCGAGTCCATCCAGGTTAGATTCTCTAGTGACAGTCCAACCAACATCACATCATATAAATGCCTTACCAACACCACAAACGGCAACTAGGACACCTTTTCATCAACCAATTGCAGCAGTAACACCTTTGTCTGCATCCACTTTTCCTAATACCGCATTCGACTATAATAAAATTTATTATCCCTCATCAAGCGCTGAGTCTGAGGAAATTCGTAAGTTATACTAGACAAAGTTTCGATATATTTCTGATAGGTAATTACATTCTAGAAATAACTTATGATTATTCAACACAGCATTACCTTTTTTACCAAATCCAAGTTCATCTGCAACACGGTGTAATAAAGGTACTATTATATGTGATAATTATAATTTATCTATCATTCATCAAAATATATTACCTGAATATTACTTCACTGATAAAAGACTCTATGATCTCAGATCGTCGACCATCTGCATTAAGAAGACTACACCACTTGTAACAATAGCCTTTTATAAATTAAAATTAATAAGCTATATTTAAATATATTTATAATTTTAAGAAAAAAATACTATTATAGTAAATTCGTACTTAGATATTATTAAGATAGTCAAATAAGTTTAGAATTATAATAAAAAAAATAATTCTAAAATTAAAGTAGTTTTAGTTTTATATTTGTTTTAATATCAATCTAGTATTTCTCTTAATAAAATAAAAAACAAAATCATCTAAATATAATATATAATTACTTTATTTTATAATATTTATAATAAAAAAAAAATTATATTATTTTTTTTAGTATCATATTAAATTTAGTATAGCAAAATTTTAGAAAATAACAATAATTTTTATTTAGTTTATACAAAATTTTTATTAATAATTATATTTAAAAATTTACAAATTTAAACTTAAAAAATCTTATATTAAAATTTGAATAAAATTAACTGTTTTTAATCTAAAAATTTTTTTTTTGCTATACTACAGTAAATACATTTTACAAACAAATACTTAATTAAATATAAAAACAATTAAATTTGTTTTATATCTAATATTTTTATTTTTTAATTAATTAATAGTATCTTATCCAAATCGTCAACAAAATAACAACATTCAAAAAATTCATTAAATTATAATAATAAATATAACAATCAAAAAAATTCATTAAATTATAATAAATATAACAAAATTTATAATCTATTTGCTTAATACTAATTTTTTTTCTGATTTGGATTTCCAGATAATAAATAAAATTTTAGGCGAACTTGGGTACGTACGTAGTTAATTGATAGTCGGGCAGTCATGTGAACCGAAAATCAATTCTACGCTCCGACACAGTTATCACCACCTTATACGAGATAATTATGTGCAACGTTTACGTAACGAACGTTTTCACATATAATA